CGGTTGGCCTTCTGGGCTGTGAGCGTGCATTTCCAGGTCAAGTTGAGCTTCTCATCCACCAGCACCCTCAAGTCCTTCTCCTCAGGGCTGCTTTCAGTCCATTCTCTGCCCAACCTGTATTTGTGCTTGGGGTTGCCCCGACCCAGATGCAGGACTTGCACTTGGCCTTGTTGAACTTCATGAGGTTTTCACCCCCTCTCAAGCCTGTCAAGGTACCACTGGATGGCATCCCTTCCCTCCAGCATGTTGACTGAACCACACATCCTGGTGTTGTCACAGATCATATGTTTAAAACCATGATAGTTGAAAACTGTCATACTTTAACAATGATCAGAAGTCCTGTCTTGGCTAGGGATGGAAATATGGTGTGATTACAGGGACTGAGATTTCAGAGTTTTTAGGGCTTTGGTGGCAGTGGTCAGTATTTAGTGAGCTGGTGGTATTTCCTCCCTGACAGCAGTTAAATACCAAATAAAGTTCTCCCTTTGTCTTTGTGTTGGGTTTGTGTGGGGGAGGGCTGGTTTTGGTAGCAGGGGAAGGGGCTACAGTGATGGCCCCCCTGAGAAGCTTCGCAAAACTCCCCTGGCTCCAAGGTGTACCCAACTCCAGCGCAGGCTGAACTAATTAGCAATAGAGAAACACCTCGTCAAATTCATTTTTATGAGGGGAAGGACTGTCTTGAAAAGAAGAAGGTCAAGAGGACCTGAAGGAGAGGCCATTGACCTCAACAAAAGACAACTATCAGCCTGAACAAAGAGAGAGCTTCGTTGCCAGGAGGAAGGAGGAGAGGGGGGAGGACAGAGAACCTCAGACACCCAGTTCAAAACGCGTGGAGTAGGAGAAGGCAAAGGAGGTCCCTGCAGCCCATGGAAGTTCAATGGCAGAGCAGATACCCACGTGTAGGCCATGCTGGAGCAGAAAGCCGAGCCCAAGGGCAAGTGTGACTGAGTTGAGACCCCAGAGGCACTCAACACCAGAGCAGGGGTGGACCCCCCAGAGCGGGGGATGAGAAAGTGTGCTGGACTTGAGACCCATCTACAGCCCATGGACGTTCCCATGCTGGAGCTGGGACCTTTGCCCGAAGAGATCCATGACTCCATGCGAAGCTTGCATTGGAACACATTGTTCCTGGACTTCCATGCCGGGAAGAGCAGCAGAGGTCAACTGACTGCAACCCCCATTCTCTGTCCCCTGTGCTGCTGCAGGGGGAGAAGTTAGGGGAATTTGGAGCACACAGAATCGTAGTGGTTGTAAAAAATCTTTATGATCACCAAGTCCAGCCATAAACCTAACACTACCAAATCTGCCTCTAAACCATGTCCCCGAGCACCTCATCTACTTGTCTTTTGAATACCACCAGGGAAGGTGACTCCACCACTGCCCTGGGCAGCCTGTTCCAATGCCCGACTACCCGTTCAGTGAAGAAGTTTTTCCTAATATCCAATCTAAACCTTCCCTGGCAGACACGCATGCCAGAACTGGGGTGGGGGCAGGAGGTACACTGGACCAGAGACCTGTCACCAGCCCATGGAGGTCCCAATGCTGGAGCCAGGGGCTGCACCTGAAGAGATCCATGACTCCGTGGGAAGCCCATATTGGAACACTTTGTTTCTGAACATTTTAGCCCACAGGAGGGACCCCACAAAAGAGAGAGCAGCACAGACAAAGTGATTGCAATCTCTGTCCCCTATGCCACTGGGAGGGAGAAGGTAGAGAAATAGGGAGCAAAGTAATCTGAGCCCAGGAAGAAGGAAGGGGTAGGGGGAAGGCGTTGTAAGATGTGGTTGTTATGTCTCAATGCATTACTTAGATGAAATGGCAATGAATTAAATTGATTTTTCTTCCCCAAGTTGAGTCTGTTTTGCCCATGACCATAACTGGTGAGTGAGCCATCCCTGTCCTTCATTCCTAATCTGTGCCCCCTTTGTTGTGATTCCCTTCCCATCTCCTGGGGTGGGGGGAGTGAGTGCAAGACCACATAGTCTTACCTGTGGCTGAAACCACCACAGTCTTACCTTTTAAAATGCCTTTCTGCTTCTTTTTTCCCCATCTTTTTTCCCCCTCATTTGAGATGAAAAGTCTTAAGACACTAACTAGGTTTAGTTCTTTTTTAAAAAAAGGAAGTGCAATGAGCTGTAGAAAGGATACTTATTACAAAGGTTTCTACAGTTAGTACAACTGTTCTTTTATCAAAGTCAACAGATGAAGAGCTAGAAAAATGTGGACCCATTGGACTAATCTCATAATTCCCTTTGCAGGGATTTAAGTATATAGCATTAGCATTTTTTCTTTTGTTTGTTGTGTTTCTTGCAATATGCTCTTCCAGAGAATTTGATTATTTGGGGAAAAAAAAAAAAGTGTTACTGAATGTTCAATATACTTAAGTTTTATATAAATAAATTAAAGCATGCAGTGGCTTTTTCTTTCTAATTTATCTCAATTTAAAGTATAAACAGAGTCAAAATGCAGCTTACTCTGTATGAATGTAATGGATCTGACCTGGGAAAAAACTTTGAAGCATTTTTTAGGCTCACAAACAGTCTTCATGGACATTTTACTTTTGCTTGGAACTTTCTCTTTGGTCCAATATAATTTTTTGGTAGTCCAAGTCACAAAGCAGTAGAGCAATTAATAAAAATGTCAGTCAAAATTAAACAACATATTCTTCATATTGCGTCCAGATAACATGCTCTTTCAGTACTTCATATGAGTAGAGGCAAATGTGGAGCTGTAGTTTTATTTTTTTATTATAATAAGGTGATCTCTTTCTTTGAAGATGAGATTATTTTTTCTACTTTCAGGACAAGGTGGATATTCTTATTTGAAGGAATGGCTTTGGTGGGCTGGATTGCTATCAAGTAAGTCACCTCTTTCTTCTCAACCTGTATGTAAATGCTACATACAGTACATTGTTTTAAATAGATTTATTCCATGATTTTTCATTCTCCTCACTTAAAAGAAATGTCTTTGCAATCACCTTTATGACAGAAGCTGTTCCGATATCCCATCTCTCAAATGTGATCTTTACTCTTTGGAGCTCTTTGCAGAATAACCACCTTTTCTTTAATATCGAGTCAAAAGCAATGGGATCAAACCTGTTCAGCTTCTAGGAGAACTTAGGGGGAAAGTATTTAACTTTCTTCAGCCTTTATTATGTCCACAGGAGTTTAGATAATTTTGAAAGGAAAATTTGCATATATAGTGTAGAAAAAAGATTTTGGGTTGTATTTGCTATCATAGCTATGATACAAAATATTTATAATAGCATGCCTTTTATTCTCCCTCTTCAAGCTAATCTTAATGTTCTTTCTTCTGCAGTGGGATTAGGAGAAGCTGCAAACTTTGCTGCCTATGCCTTTGCACCTGCAACCTTAGTTACCCCCTTGGGTGCACTGAGTGTTCTCATAAGGTTGGTACAAACTGGAAGCAAATGTTGACAAATGAACTATTCACTGCATGAGGAAAAAACAATGTCTTTGGATGAAAGTAGAGAATTTTAATTACAAAACTGAAAACCAATATATTGACAAAACATGCTTTTTATTCCTTGGTTGAAAGATCTCTTGCTTATTTAGAACTGAATTTTCTGGGTAGAGGGAATGAGAAGTCGTGTTCCAAAAACTAATCTATGCTTTCCCAACAAACTTACACCTATATGATAAAGTATTTCTTATCAGCGTATACCAGGTATGCTGCTGATGCAGTGGTAGAACACTGCAATTCATCTCTTCCTAGAGAATTGAAGCTTAAAGTCTTATCCTGTGCTTTAGTTGTGACACAACTTTAAAAGAAAATACAGTATTCACCCATTAAAAGGTTTTCAAAAACATTTCATTTTTATGGGGGCATGATTTCATATTAGGGCACACTTAGTAAGCATTTTGGGTTGGTTTGATCTTTTCTGAGTCCTTCTGGAAAGAAGGCAAAGAAAATTTTAGGGCTTTTAATATCCACAGTTAAAATTGGTGGTTCTTTAGAAATATGAATACCTTTCAAACACTCATTATTTCCTATGTATGAAGAAACAAATAATTTCCAAGTACTTAAGCACATATATTAATATAGTTATCATAGAAGCAGAAAAGACATAGATCATAGGAAATAATTTATTAGCAAAATGGAATAGTTGTATTTTAAATGTTAAAACTTATTTTTAAGACCTGAGTATACTATATAAAACATAGTGTTTAAAACCAACCTGGACCACTTTTTAAGTTTGTTTTTTTTCTTAAAAGATGCTTGCGATAATCTAACTGCTGAAAATGCAGCCGTTCTGTCATAGCAAAACCAGCGTAACTCTGTCACCTACAGATGTGCTGGGATCATCGTGTAGGTAGATGCAGACTAACTGGCTGCTGCTTCTCAAAACAGCCTGAGTTTTAACACCCTCTCCTTTGATGTGGATAGCAATCTTTCCAATTCTCATGAAACAGAGAGGTCATTAGAACTTCATGTCAGTGAGGTTGTTACCCTTGTGCAAAATAGCTGTAATTTGATCAGTGGGTTGAAGAACTATTTGTGAGTGTGTCCACACACCATTAAGCCTGTGTCTATGCCTAAGGTTGTGCTTTATTGGCTAATCGTGTGCCCTGTGAGGTGGCCTCATTTGGGCCATGTTATTATCCTTAGGTTAAATCTTGAAATGCTTGGAGAGCCTGGGGTCAGTCCTCTTTGAAAGGGGAGATGTGCTTTCTCTGTTTTTAGGGGAGTCCTGGCAAGCCAGGCAGAAACTTTGCCTGGGTGGGAGGGCCTGGTGAGGGATGAGGAACAGTTTCCAAAACTTGTGTGTGTTGGTTCTAATGGCAAATGAAGTGCTTTAAACCATTTTTGGAAGAAAATCACAGCTCATGTGGTCAATCCGCAGGTGTGTGTGTGTGCATACCCCTGACACAGTCCATCAGGAAACAGAAGTTCCTTGAACAATTTGGACCCTTTAAACCTGGAGGGAAGGGGTCTTCCAAAACTCCCTAAAATTGGATTGTTTCAGGCTGGTTCCCCATATATCCAAATTCAAAAGAGGTTTTGAATTACTATCATGTTACACGGAAAGATTTTTAATGTCTCATGTGGCTGGTGGAGCTGAATCTTTTATTTATATTTTGCCAAACAGTGCTATATTGTCATCCTATTTTTTAAATGAGAAGCTGAATATTCACGGAAAGCTAGGCTGTGTGCTGAGCATTTTGGGGTCAACGGTCATGGTTATTCATGCCCCTGAGGAGGAGGAGGTCACCTCACTAGATGAGATGGAAAGAAAGCTGCAAGATCCAGGTCTGTATGCAATTGTAATAAACTTGTGCTACAGTTCATAGAGAAGTGTTCAGGACACTGCATAACTTTTAGCATGTACTTGGACGTACTCTGGTATTTTCTCTCATGCACATTTCTTCCCTTTCCTCTTTCTTACAGCATTTGTTACGTTTGCTGTTCTCCTAACAGTTGTTGCCCTCATGCTGATTTTTATTGTGGCTCCAAGGAGAGGTCAGACAAATATACTGATCTACATTTTAATTTGCTCACTCATTGGTGCCTTCTCTGTCTCGTCTGTGAAAGGCCTGGGCATTGCCATTAAACAAATGTTGGAGTGGAAGCCAGTGTATCGAGATCCATTGGTTTACATATTGGTGGGTATCTTAATGCTCTCAGTCAGCACTCAGATCAACTATCTCAACAAAGCATTGGACATGTTCAATACATCTCTAGTGACACCTATTTATTACGTGTGTTTCACCACAACGGTTGTGACATGCTCCATCATCCTGTTCAAGGAGTGGAGTACTATGGACCTGGGTGATATTATTGGAACCCTGAGTGGATTCTGCAGTATCATCATAGGTATTTTTCTATTGCACTCCTTCAAAAATATTAATATCACCTGGAGTCAGTTGATGTCTGCTGTTGTCAAAGAACCATCATTACCACACCATGAATACGAAACCTGTCACACTTTACTGGAGAGCATGGAAGACCCAGCTTTGGCATATGAGGAGGACAACATTTTGTTCAGTCAATGAAACTCTCAAGTGGTGTTCGTCACTGAAGTATCATGAATTGGAGACTCAGCCCACCTGTGTCTACCAGAATGCTCTTCTTTTCTGCAATCCTCTGGAAAACCATCTGTAAGGCCAGTTAAGTGTGGGCCACTCCTCTGTGCCAGCTGTTGGCAGTAATGAATGAAGTTATTAAATAATTAACAAGACAGAAACCTGACGGTGATTGTATGTCAGGCAATTAACAACCTTGTCCTTTTTTTATGAAGCATCTCCTGCTGGGAGAATTTTAGCAGAAAAGAATGTAAGCTATGTTTACAAAGTGCGATTTTCCCATCATGATAAAAGATGATCCATGATGAAGTGACAAGCAATCTGCTATTACCTTAGTGATGACCTTAATATTTCAGGCTTTCTTTATATTTTTATAATTTATTGCCAAGCAAACTTGTAGATAGTCTACCTGAAGGATGTTCAGTGGAGATATAATATGAAGAAAACATTGTTTAACCTCTTTAGCTTTTAATATAAAAATTCATACAGGTTTTTTCATTTTTGATGACCTACCAATGAATGTCAAATAGAAGTCACAAAAAATTTATGAAATGTGGTTCTTGGTAACCGTTCTCCTTCAAAATCAATTTTTTAACTGCAGAGTCTTAGCTCTTCTACCTTAGGAGTCCTGAATGGATTGCAAATCCCTGGATGTGCATGTACCTTTTTATTTCAAAACTATGACCAAGTTATAGTTTAAGAAATAGCAAATTCATTAAAGGCCTGAACACAGTTGCTGTTGGCTTAAAAAAATTACATGAAATAAAAGAATAAATTGTTCAAAGGCAGAAGAAAACCAGAATTTCTACTCTGTTTTATATTACTTTGAGGCTTTACTTATTTTTGTACTTCTTCCTAATATTGCCATTTATTCATCAAAACCCATTTAAGCTTTTCATTTTTTTTTCTCTTTTCCAGAGAAAAGATATTATTGTTTCTTAATAGCAAAACAGTCTTGTTATTTTATATTCTGTTGAAAAAGCAAAATCCATTTTCCAATCTTTGCGCTATTTCTAAAATTACTAGGTAAAGGAAGGGCTGTAAAGGTGAGAAGAGGTGAGAAACATCAAAACGTCTTTTGTTTTCCTTTGGCCTTTTAATCTTTTCTAAAAATGAGTATTCACCTCTATTAGATGCTTTAGCTATTAAGCTACCATAAGCCTTAAAGATTAGCATCTGTACTACAGTATGCTCCTCAGTTGTGGTCACTGATCTTTATCTCACAAAAACTCTTTGCACAGTCCATGGTTTACTCATTACAATCCCCTTTGTTGCCACTTTGTGAGCAAGAACGTATCTTCAGCAATCAGATATGTGGGTCATAACGAGCTCATCAAAGGTAGTCTTTCAAATTTTTTGGTTTTTAAGTGAGTTCAGAACCTTTGCTAGCATTTCAGCAATTAAAAATTGGTTTTAATCAGCTGAGATTTGTATGCAGGCTGTATATTCTTTAATGTACAGAGTGTAGTAAAAGTGGACACTGTGTGGATAGTGAATTGTTCTGTGACAGAAAGCTCATAATTTAGCTGTAAGAACAAAAGTGTTGCTACTGATATTTCATACACATTTGTGTTGTGCAGAGTTTAAGTACTTCCTTTTTGAAAGACGTTCATGAAACATCTCACTTGTTAATGATTTTTAGAGCTTTAAGATTTTTAGAAGCTATCAAAAACTGGAAAAGTAACACTAGGGATACTACCTTAAAGTTACTTCTAAATTGCAAGCACCTTTTTGTTTCACTTGGATACGTTTGTAGTTGACATACCCACAGCAAGAGGTAGAAATTACATCAATGGTCTGCATCTTCTAAACCCTCATTTTTATGATGAACATATCTAAAAATGTGACACTGAAAAGTCTGTGTGGTTCTTCTGCTTGCAGTACTTTATAAAAGATAGCAGGTATTCTTGCCAATGTAAAGAGAAGCCCAGAAGATGTCATTAGGCAGTGGGTATTCAGGTTATCACCTGTGATTGCCTAACTTGAAAAGTAAATTCAATAGTGCAGGAGGTGGCAGCAATGTTACCCCAGTAAGGGAGACATTTTCACAAAAGATGTACTTGCCTTGAAAATACAGTGGCAGTGTATACAGCTTTAGAATATTTTTCAGCTTTCCAAGTGATGAGACTTGCAGCAATTCTTTGCTGTTAAAATGCACGTGGTAAAAAAGCTTCGGAGAAGAAAATACATAAACAGTTTCATTACTTCTTAGGTAATGTAGATAATAATTTGGCTTTATTTGCCAGATTCAAGTTACAAAGTCTTCATAGTTAAAAACAGATAATCCAAATAATAAAAACACTAGAGTTTTCTTTACAGTTTTCCTTTTAACAAAACGTGAATTACTCATACAATTTAAAGAATAACTGAAGAAAATACTGATTGACTCTAAAAAGAGAAAAAGATACTCTTTTGCATAGCTGGTGGCCCCTCTATTTGCTTATACAGTCGTCATTGTGGTGTGACCAAGTGGGTTATTTGTATGAAAAGGCAACCAATCCAGTTCTTGAATGGATGTGTATTGGCATTTTTTAAGATTTGTAGTAATACTTTCTGTAAGAAGTGTCTTGATTCTTTTTATACCAAGTCTGGGCTCTCTTTATACCAACTCCTGGCCATCAAATAACTTGTACCAAGCAAAAATTCTGTATTTTCTACTGGACCTGCATATCTGCTTTTATACATAAATAACATCTACTAGGAAAATAATGTTATTTTCTTACAATGTCAGAAAACCAAAGTTAATGCTTATTTTCATGGTATACAGGAAGTCTATCATGTTAAGAAGTAAATTATTGATTATGCTTTTGTATAAAAGACATTTGCTATAAGAGATATTATTTTTGAAAATGTTTATATGTAGTTAGAGTAAGAAATTTAATTTTTATTGAAATTATGCTAATATTTCTCTTATAATAAATTATTCATGGATTGTTTACTTAATAATATGTGTTTTTTAAACAGGGTATAAAAAAGAGTGTAATTTGTATTTCTGGTAAGCATTTAAATGCTATCTGATAGATCCAAAGCAAATGATCTTGGTTTTAGCAGCTGGTCTTATGCACACATATGTGTGGATTCTGGATGAAGAAGGTCTGACTGATGTCTTTGCAGTTCATGTGCATCTGACCTGGTCATGACCTTCTTTTAGTAGCTTTGACTTTTACTACTTTTTCTGATAGGAAAGAAAATCTTCTACTCCCCTAGAAAAACCATGTGTGAAACTACTATATATTCACCTTGAGCTAAAAAGTCTGTGATGTTATGATGGAACTGGAATGAAGAGTATGGGGAGATCAAGAGGTTTTAGCTTCCTCTACAGAATTACCCAGTTTGTCCAGATGTGTTATTTTTATCCTGGTGTTCTGCAGAAAACACCAGCAAGGAACATTTAATTCTGATGATTGGTAGTCAAAAGACATGGATTTTGAGGGACAAAAATAATGGGCAAGTGAAAATGCCTTCCCTTCTAAACTAGGGAAGAAAACTCAAAGCTGATGTATTAGGGATCTGTTTCTCATGGGCAGTCTCAATGGACAGTATTTCAGTGAGTTGTCAGGTTTTCCAGGCAGTGAAATGAAGGATATTATCTAAAGTAATTTGAAGCGTTTTGCAAAGTAGGAGGAATAGTTAAGAACTAGAATGAAGAAAACCTCAGAGGCAATACATTACTAACCAAATTATGGCTTTTAAATGTTGATACAAAATAAATGTTGGCAGCTACTCCTTGCTACCATACCTCAGGACAAATTAATGGGCAATTAACTTCATTACATAGCTGTGCTGATTAAATGTAGGTAGGTCAGAAAGACTTGGCTAGGTTAAGTAATGTGCAGGGAATTTGTAAGGAAGTACATAGGTTATTAGTTTCTATAGAAACCTGTTCTACTGTCTTCCTTGACCTGTCTTCTCAGCCATGCTTAAATAGCCATGGTATAAAAAAGTTTCATCCAAGGAATCTTAATTCAAAACTTGAGCCTCTTTACTCGTCACAGTTGCATCCTGGAACTATATGGGGAGTTACATACTCCTAGCAAATGCCATTCTCTTACTATTTACATTCCAGTAAAACAAAATGGCCATGTGTGTTAGAAAAAAATCTTTTAGCAGAGTGGGTTTCCTGTAGCTGACTGCTTTCTGGCTGGTTTTAAAGTAGTATCGAGGTTTAGGACAGGATGGGGTCCCTGAGCAGGAGCCAGGCTGGTGATGCATGAGGGAGGGCAGCACTTGGTGATGTGCATTAGTGTCTCTGCAGTCCTCACTGTTTGTGAAACTATATTTATAGATAAGGTAAAAATGTTGGGCTGAAAACCAAATGGCACTGGAGATAAACATCAACAGACTCATACACACAAGTAATTGATCTCCATTGCTCGTCAGGAATACTTTCATTTTCTGAAAATACATTCCAGTTTGTCAACAGTGCAGCTTTTTAATAGAAAAGAGATATATCGTAAGTAGCTTGCACACAGAGGCCAGGAATTCTGCCTTTTTTTCCATAATACTGCCTTGCTGCAAATTTTCAGATGTTTGATCAGGAATTTTCACAAATGCTGAGCACTCATTCAGCTCTTGACTAGACATTCACTGTGTGAGGGTGGTATAGTGTCTCTTTCTAACCTTTACTGCTCTTCCAAGTCTCTCTTTTATCACACAAAGGTTTTGAAAAAAACAGCTAACAGACATCCATTTGCCCACATATGTCTGTCTATGCTCAGTAACATGGGTGGCATTCACTGTTCACCCGTATAAGTACTTTCATTTTTGCCTGTTTGGATATGGTTAGAGTTTGAGCTAAGCTCAGAGGCACCATGAGGACTAAGGAGGCCCACTTTGTTTCTGTTTATGGGTGTAACTGTTCTGGTAAGTAGATACACTGTGGAAACCTGACCTTTGTCCTGTAGACCTTTCTTGTTGCTGATTAAGCACTGGTTTCACTGACTCTGAAGCATGTTTTAGTGCTTTTTCGCTTATTTACTTTCAACCTGATGATAGCAGATGTTAAATTTATCTGCATCAGAGTGCTAATAACAGCCTACTCATAATTTTCTCAAAGCAGCCTACAGAAAGATTATATTGAGAAGCTGAAGGCTGGGTGGGCAAGCATTATTGGCTCTGTGTATTAGACCAACATGTTTCAGGGATGGATGCATATTCACCATGGGACACCTCAATGAAACAGGCATGAGCAGGGTTCTTTAAGTACATAAACCTACCAGAGCTTTTTATTGCATGGTACTGTAGTGTATCACATATTAACTTGCACTAATAAATGTGGCAAAACCAGTTTTACAAGAGCTACTAAAAAAGATGCCTCACATATTATTCAAAGTCCCCGTGTACTTTTATATTGCAGAGACAATTTGAATTTCGCATTTGTGGCGCATTTTCTACTGAAAAGGCTTGTACTTCTGTGGCCTGGGCATAACATTGTGGTGAGCTCAACGTGTGGTACTGTTGCATAGGTCTGTATTTAGTCATAGGTCTGATAAGGAACTGAATGCGTCAGTTATAAAAGTAAACAGTGACCTAAGTTGGTGGCAATTCTTCTAGCAGATTATGTGAAGTGATAGGATTATCATGCTTCACTTGAAGCAGAAATGCCTTAAAAGTGTGTTTGAAGGTACTCCCAAATGTTCAAACAATAGGATTAAGAACTTCCTTTCCCAAGGGGTGATAACTTTCAAAACATTTTTGCAGTAAAGGTGAGTGATTAATGTCAGGCATGGATGTGAACCAAAGATGCCATCATCTTCTGGAAATTCAAAACTTTGGATGATTGATATATTTCATTTTATTGTTACGGTTATTTTTTATATTTGTAAAGGAAAAATTAAGTTGTGCAGAACTCAATCATTCTTCAGCTAGTGGGTTTTAACTATTTTGTCTACAAAGTGCTATAAAATGAAATATTGTGATGTATTTACCTATAAATAATGCACAATGCAATCACATCTTTTTAAAAAACTATTTATTTGTAATGGTCTGTCTCTATTCTGTAGTAAAGAATTATTAACTTCATCTGCCTTTTCTATAATATATTTGTATCCAGCAATATTAAGATTTAAAATTAAAAGTGAATGATAATGTAACAGGTAGGGTTACAGACATTGTCCGTGTCGGGTATTGCAGGATCCATCTGAGCTAGACTAATTTGAAGCACTTTGTTTTACTGTCAGGTTCCAGCTTGAACTTGTCCATTAACCATGCTGGGCACTTGCAAGGGAAGGACTAAGGCAAGCATGGGCGTTTGAGTAGGCAGCAGCAGGGGAGGAGTGGGAGACGATACTGGCAAAATTTAGGGAGACGTTTGGATAAAATAATCCTTACTCACCTTCTTTTACATGGAAATGGTAGAGAAGGTGCCTTGACCTGCAATGCAGGTTTAAAATGCTTCACAGATGCCCAGACTTTTCAGCTGCTCAGGTGTGACTTGAGAGCTGCTAAGTGGTGACCGCTCGCTTTGCCTGCCTTTACCTGCAGCGGTGGTTACCGGCACACACATGGGTGCTGCTCTGGCGGTTGATAATTAGCTCTCTGCCCCTTCTGAAACACTGCTCCGTTTCTTCAGTGCTGGATGCTTTGCAGCAAAAGGGCTTGCCTTTAAACATAACTTAGCTAGAGCTTTATCAGAGGTTCTTCCATCATTTTTGCTGTTGCCAATCAGTATTCCTCAATGCATGAGTTATGTTAAGTACCAAATAATTTAATAATATTGTTAGAGGAATTAGTGTAGCTCTGACAAAAAGAATAAATAAAAAGGCTTGTAAGATGGGTAAGCTTGGTTACTTCTTTCCAGACAGATTTTTCTCTGTAGTCGTGAAAACAAAGCCTTGAGAGTCCTGAACCAGTCTCCTGAGGTATCTTTTTCAAATGAGTAAAAATTAGGCGAAGCCTGAACAGCTACTTCAATATGTAGGATGCTGGTACTGCAGTTTAAGTGGAGACTGCTGTAAAAGGATGTTTTCTGTATCAGCTACCTTATTGACATGCTTAATGCTAACCTTTCAGTAAACACATTGATGTAAAATCTCTGATTATCCTATCACTGTTATATCTGTGAGGGTCTCTATTAACTCTGCAAAAGTAGGACGTCCTTCAGGTTTCTGAAAAGAAAAGCAGAGGGTAAATATTTATTAGCAGATTGATTAATTATAGTACCAGACTTCAGAAACTAGTTACAAGTACATATGAGCTACCACTTTTGTACCAAGATTACATTTTAATTTATTAAAACAGAAGAAAATAACAAGTTTATCATTTGAGGGAAAAAAAAATCATCTGTTCTTCATTACACCAGCAGTGTGAGTGAGCACAGCCACTTTTCTAAGCGTTCCTATAATTTCTTTATACTTATTTCAATTCTGGACCAGAATTCCTATAGGATTTCTCCCCTGCAATGAATCACTGGAAAGCACTACTGCTCAGGAAACCACGATACTCAGGAATGTTGCCTAGGCTGTTGAAAAAGGATATTCACTGCTGTATCATTTGATGTATTGCAACTCAGCGTGGAACAGACTCCTGGGTGATGGCAGACAGGAGAAGAGAGAACTTCCCTGACCTCTCTCTGCTGGCTGGCATCCCAATGGATGTTTGCAGTAAGCACGCAAGCTAGATGCAGTTTAAATTTCAGTCTCTTAACATTTTTTTTTAATCTCAGTGTCTAAAATTTAATTTCATATAGAGTTAAAAGATAGGCAAGAAAAGAGAGGTAGGATAAAGGAGACAATGGTAGCAAAAGGTTCCCCAGGTACTCTCAGTGTATGCCTGCCTGTTTATATGAAAGCATTGCACACAAAGGTCTTCTGAAAGTACTTTTTATTAAAAATTAAAGATTAATTTCCTGTAGACACTAGAGGAGGAGGGACCTTAAGGGATTATTCAGATTGAGAAGTTAATTAAATCAATGTTTTGATACCAATATAGAAAGAAATAGGTGCTGGAGAAATGGAGAAAGAACATCAAATACCAAATCAGAGTGAAGAGGGTGAAAGAGTGCAGCCTAGGAGCTGTAGTGATGTACAGAGCTCCTGATGTACACCAGAAAAACAGGCTTTAAGCCCCACATTTACTGGGCATATCCTGTTTGTATACGAATGTGTTAAGGTTATCATTTAGAGCAGAGCTAGAGAAAGCTATGCATGATACGGAGGTGTGAAAAAGGTATTACATTTGACACAATACAGAAGCAAGATAATAGTGGCATATTCAAAACCAGGGCTGGTCTAGGCTTATTCTACTGATTATGTGCGTTATATTTATTAGATGCAACAGTCAAAAGAAACAGAGGCTTGTAAGCCTAGGTGTGATTTTTGAAAAGCATAGTGAGAGATACTGAGGATGCTGCAGATGTGAAATAAGGATTTAATGCCTCCGTTTTTTAAGATTGCTTTTAAATCCCCATTACAAATTAATAACAAAGTAAAGTAAGATCACAGGAAAAAAAGGGCAACAAACCTCATGCCAGCAGCTGTACATGACTTTGTACACAGTATGTGATGCCAAATGTGGTCGATAAAGTCGGTTACCCTGAGAAATCTCACGGACAACTTCAGAATTTGACTTACTTTCAAAAGGCATTTTGCCTTCTGTGAAAACTTCCCACATAAGTACACCTGGAAGTGAACCAAAATATTTAGGACAAAACAAAAACCCCAAGCCCACAAGCTATTTAACAACATTAGAAGCAAAAAAAACCACTCTTGGTTTTTTGTGTATTGCATGAAAACATGGGCAACATGAGCTGAATGAAGACAGACTACGAAAAACATCTTCAACTGATACAATTCTACTCTCTTTTAAGTCAGCTAAGATGGTGGTTCATGAAACTGAGATGAATACACATTGGGCTAATGGAGATGTACCAAGAATCCACATTTCAGTCAAAAAGTTACAGTTACGCACAGAGATTTTCTACTAAAAAACCATACTCATCCAATACAGGCAAGATTTGAAAAATGGGAAGGACTCAAGCTTAAGATAGATAGTATCAGTAAAAAGTTACACTTTTTAAAATTATATTGGTAGTTTTAGGGAATTAAAACTTAACACAATAGCACATTAACCTAATCAACTCACCAAATGACCACACATCTGATTTGCTGCTATATTTTTTGAAATGAAAGACTTCAGGAGATGACCATTTGACTGGAAACTTGGCACCCGAAGAGCTAATATATTCGTCATCAATGACGTACCTAAAGGATAACAGGAAACAGCATATAGATTTTAATGACAGTTAAATGGGAAGCAGTTCTGGCAACATTTCCACAGATGATTTATAATTCCATCAAAATACAGTATCAATTTAGAAACAAAGAAATGGTATCACTAGTTTAATATAAAATACACACAGATATCCACACTGGAAACTATGGACTTTATGAGATTTCTGTTTAAAATAATTATTTGAGTTGTTCTTGAGAAGTATGTCAGAATAAAACATTTTAATATGCTCTTTAAGACCAGTAAGATGGTTGCTATTGTCATCTTCTAGGCATATATTGATAGAAAAGATTCCTATGCCGTGGGCGGGAAAACCAGCAGCAATAAGCAATTATTGTATCTTCTTAAAAGAGCCCACCTTTTCAACCACCTGTACCCAAACACTACTGGCAGAGGCTGTACTTTGTAGCTGATGGGTGGTGTTCACTGCCCAACTTCACAGATGTGATTTCTGGCATGTTTACAGAAGCAACACAGAAAGAAATGTTCATCACATACAAGGCAACAGCTCTTGCAAGTGCACTGGAAAAGCAGTTCTCTTTGCCCAAGCTTAGAGGAACTGACCTCCCGGTTAAGATGAAATTATGTCACCAATGCAGACATTTATAGGGAAACATTTTAAAAGGCTATTAGATTGATCCCTACCTACATACAAGCACTGTGCACATTTTCCTACTATTAATGTTCCTGAGTAGGTGACAGATGTGCATTATACAGCATTTGTTCTCATGGAAGGCATAATGCACAAGCACCTTTTAAAGGGGGTCACATTAAGAGAATTCATCTCTTTGCCTCCTTTTCCTATTTTGGTGCAGGCACAAAAAGATGAGAGGTTATTGGATAAGAAACTTAATGAAATAACAGTACAAAATAACCAGTAGTGGCAGTTGTGTGAGCTCTGAAAAATAAGATTGTGATCCCATCACCTCTCCATGGTCTTCCTGAGCGACTGAGTTCCTATCCTAGAGCCACACCACTGGTCTCCACTTTTTGGCAGCAGTGAGCCACTCTGGTCTATTATTCTCAGACTGGACCCTGACAGGCCTTTGATCTCTTACAGTGTTTTCTGGTGCATTTGGATGAGTCCAGACCCCTGATACTGACCTTGCCCCTTTTAGGGAGCAGTGCAACCAGTGGTCACTGCCATGCTACAGGACAGCCTTTTGAAAAACAAGTATTTAGTTATGAACTGCCAGGGCGTCGTAATCCTTAGGTTAGAAATAGGAGGTGAAACCTAAGGGAAAGGTAAGCCACATGGTCATGCTGATCTAATGACTTGCAGCTGCAAGGTGATTGTCACCACCAGCTCCTGCTCAGAGGAGGTGGTGGTGACACCACCAGAGGAGGTCACCACCAGGGGAGGTCACCACCACCTCCTGCTCACCTTCAGTCTGCCAACCCAGCAGGAAAACAGCCAGTGAAACACAGAAGGGGAGGGCTTTGTGCTGGGTTTGCAAGGGGAAAGAAGGAAGGAGTGAGACAACCCCTTTGGGTAGGAGTCAGTCATTCAGTCAGCTCTGCTATAAAATACAGCACATCCTTGGGGGGAAGTCTGTGCGGGCAGAGCTACGTTTCTCTGGCCTGTGAAGAGTCAGAGAAATGCACGTCAGAGTGCATTTCACTCTCTTTCTCCATGTTTGGCTGGTCTTCTCATTAAGCAGAAAAACCACTTCCTGGCTAGAGCAGAACACATCACACTTCCTGCCTGACCTGCTGGCCCTCCCTGCATCCTGCCTGACCTACTCAGTCGCTGCCACCTCTAAAGGTCAGCACCAGCACCCAGATCTGTCTCAAGGGACCTTCTGTCCTCCCCGTTGCTCAGAAAAGTTGAGGAACTTGTTTCTTCAAGCTCCTGGCAGCCGTGTGCATGCTGGACGTTTCCCTGTTCATGAACTACTTCTGAAGTTTACCAGGCATGATGTTTACCTGTCTCATACTCACCAACAGCAAGAGAAGGACGTGACATGCATCTAGTGGTATAACAGTTAAACAACGTTATAATTTTCATCAGAATTCAAAAATTGACCACAGTGGAATTCCCCAAATCAGCAAAGCAAGCAATGAGGTTAACTCAAGGTCATGCTGCAGCTGACTTGAGAACAGGTTCTCACTAAACCTGCGTCAATGGCCTCGTACCTTGCCATGCCGAAGTCAGATACCTTAACGATGTGCTCAGCATTGACTAAACAATTTCTTGCAGCCTGGGGAAAATGAGATAAACATATCTGAAATGCATGCTAAAGCATTTTAAGAAAAATACAACAACTGTTATTTTTGTTTCAGCTCATACTGTTTATATTCTAAAAGGAGATGTCTCTTGCTCAAAAATCTAGGTGAATTTCTGGCTCTGACTCAGTGAACATATTTTGCTACTGTGTAGTTACACATCCATAGCATATATCAGCTTGAAACATTTGTAGTATGAGTTGCAATATTTTTAAATATTCCTGCATGGTGAAAGACATTTTAGGCTGCAGTCTAGTTATCCAAGCAGATATTTTCCTAAACACTATCATTAGGCCACTTAGTGTGAGTTTTTCATTACAGAAATCAGGAAATCCTTGGAAATTTTCAAGATTTTACACTTCATCAGGCAACTAGGGAGAAGAGCAGGAAGATTTCCTCTCTGCATCCAGATGTGAGCATTGAACAAAAAGCAGAGAGCAAGGAAACAAGCTCCTCTCCTGTGGTTCTCTGTGTATGAGGAGCAGAGTGGAAAAGCAGCTCAGCTATCCCAGCACCAAGGTAAGGCAGTAGGGAGCAGAAAAAATGTAGATAGAAAAATATTTTATTTTAAAATAAATCCTCATCGTTGCTGACCTTTTGCATTGCTGTGATTTTGGTTGTGTTGTGATCACTTCATGATACTCTTGTATTGGGGTGTCCTAACACCGACCTACTCCATTCTAATATCCCAATTTTCTCTGTCTTCTCTCATTTATCAAGTAATTTTTCCAGCTGTCCACAGACAAAAGAACAGCTGAAAAGTTTTGGTTTACAGGCAGGAAAACACTATTGGCTTATCAAATAATGCAGGGCTGAAGTCTTACAGGACACATTAGTGTCCCATAAAATTCAGTGGCATGTTCTATACTGCCAATATTTACCAAGAACTTCAGAAAACCTATTGTACTTACTAAATCACGGTGAATAAAGCTTTTTCTTTCCAGGTATTCCATCCCTTCACACACATCCTGGCACATGCTCAGCAGCATGTCTCTGCCAAGTTTCCCTCGCCTTTGCCGAAGGTAATTGAGCAAGCAGCCATTTTCCATGAATTCAGTCACAACGTAGAGAGGCTTGTGGTGTGTACACACTCCATAAAGCTGGACCAGCTTCGGGTGGGAGAGTTTCCTATTTTAAATGACATTTTAGACAGGCTAGCATTTGTCATTGGCAGGTAAATAGACCTTTGATTCGCATTATCGTTTTGAAAAATACTTCCAGTACTTGATAAACAGCATTCAGTTCAACTGGCCTCAGAGTTGTCCCACTATCTAACACATTTCTGCCCACAATTTCCTCTGAAAAGTGCAGTCTTTGAATTCATAATTGTTCATCCATTATATAAATGCAGTGAATGCAAAGCTTGATTTGGGTGATGTGAAATGGAAAGGTCTAGTTATGCCTGGCTTTCAGACAGACGACATGACCCTGCAAGGGTTCTTCTCTTCTGGGCTGTGCCAAGACCTAGTCTGGACACTTCCCTAATTTACAAAATTAGCAGAAATTGTAATATAGTTTCTCAAAAGCTTCAGTTAGGTGTGAGGTCTGCCAGTGGTCCTAGATGCACTGAATTATGGATGAAAGAATTGTTGTAGGAGCACATTTATTTAGCAGCACATTTACTGCCCATTCAGCTCCACAGCACAAAGCAGTGCACACTCTAAAGAAAGAGTCTGACGATGCATCTGTGTCAGTCCAATTCAGACATTTATATCAGCCTTTCTGTCCTGCACATCCACCATTCCTGTCAAACTGGTTTGCCTGTCTGTTTTAGATGGAATTAGTTTATATTTATTTCTTGGTCACCTCAGTGTCAACTGTCGGATATAATAGCTTTTGTACTTACATCATCACTTTGGCCTCCTCAATGAAATCATCTTCAGACATTGCACCTTCATTGATTGTTTTGATGGCAACCTTGATGGTTGCTTTCCATTTACCCAGCTGAACAACTCCAAACTGCCCACGCCCAAGTTCCTTCATGAATGTCAGTTCAGATGGGTTTAATTCCCAGTCCTCTGTAAAATCAACCCAATATGTTACAAGAGTCAGGTCAGCTTTCCTGAGCTGTGCTCCAGAAGGCGCGCCTTGCTATTTGCAGTTAATGTGTATAGCAAAACATCGCAATCGTTCATTGTGCTATAGCATGTTTTAAATATCTGAAAATTTCCCCATGCTCATATATGTTTATAAGTGAGTGTTATTTTACAGCTTGTAGAATGTGATTATTGTTTAAATTGCTTAATGTAGGAATGTCTGGAGCTTGAAGATGACACAAATGCTTAGCTTTGATTACATATGAGAACTTTTTTGGCATTATTATATGTGATGTTGAACTCCAAATCGGTTCTGGGTATATTGCTACAGAAATAGTTACTGTCTGCCTCTATTGTAACAACCACAAGAGTTCTGCTCTTCAGAAATATTAAGCCTTGAGATTAATGGGAAAATTCACAGGAAAGATAATACAAAATTTTGGACGTTCCTATCATCTGCTAGGTGATATGAACTTCCTGATCTATATACACAAAACTGGTATCTATTGCTTGTTTTCTAGTACTGTATAAGATTTAATTCTTATTTCTAAAACTTGCAGAACTGACAAGGAAAATCTTCCCTACAAATAATACTAATTTCTATTTCTTAAGCATTTGAATAGCTTTTGAAAAGCTATTAAATGTGTATTTGAGTCTTAGACCTGCTTAGAAAAGTCCAGATCGCTCTGAAATGCACTGGTGGTTGCAACAGAAACACAAGTCGATGAACAGAAGGACTCGAGTCAAGTGTCTCATTTGGTACTGATGTCTCATGAGGAAATGAGTGTCTGTTTCAGGTGAATACGCGACTGTTTATGTATTTCTTATTACTGGGAAATTTTACAGTTACAACTTAATTATTAGCTGGGTGAATGTGATCTAAATGCATGATGCAGATGCCTAAATCTCCACCAAAAGAAGATAAAAAATTTACCGTAACTAAATCCTGCTGTTGCTGGTGAAGAACCTCTGGGTGATCCCACTGGATGTCGTAGACGAGTGATAAGACCTGTAGAGAACAAAGCAACATTCTTCTCTTGACCAATTAGTCCATTTTAAAGTATGCTGTATCATACATCTTTTCAAACAAAAATATTTGTAATCCAACGTACATTTCTTATTACTTGAAGTTACTTTTGCTTACAACTTGTTCAGATAAAACAGTACAGTGAGGAAAAAATGGAGGAAGACTATTCAATAGAGCCCTGACTACAAAAGTATCTATACTTTCATACAACCAAAAGAGATACTCCTGCTCGTTTGTACGACATTAGTGATCTTACATAAATGAGTACTACAATACTGTATCACCCAACTAAGTAATCTCTTACAGCATGATTTCTCAGGATTGTTTCCCATTGCAAGAAATATTTTTGTGTCTGTCATTCATTTTCTTTGAATTCATGAGCCAACAGTACCGATGAGTACATTCCCTCATCGAGGACTCCCTGCATTGATTCATTCTTTCCACTGCTACTTTCAGGTCCTTTTCTGCTTCATGTGTTTCCTATAATCGTCCTCCCTCCAGCAAAAGGCTCTGCCCATTCCCATATTTTTCTTCCTCACTAATGCGAGGATTCCCTGTGTGTTTTTCCATCTCCACTCATTCAGTGTAAAATTGTTTTATATTGTATTAAAACAATAGGCAGAACCAAAGTGAAGGGCATTGTTTAATGCTAAAAATTATAAAAGGCTGCCATCAGCCAACAATTAGACGAGGTTAACTCTGGTAGACCTGCAAACCAGTGTTAGAGAGTACTTGTGCTCCCTAATTCTGCCTTTGATTGTTTGTGGGATGGGTTTTTTGGCCAAAATCCATAGAATGCTGCCTGCTGATGCACAGCATAGCTCCTGCTTTTCTTAAATTGCGTGCATGCAAGTCCTTGTTGTAGACAAGGAAAGAATTATGATCAAATTTCATACAAGTCCCATTTAGTCAAATATGAACTAAGAGAATACAGAGCAGGTAAATATATTGGGCTTCTGGCTTTGTAAAATTCATTTAATACACATAGATAAGTCTGGTAGTTTCACTTCCCCCATGGCATGTGCACACTACAGCTATGACTTTGGCAGAAAGGATCATGGCATATTTGAATTCACTAGCAACAGAAAAACTTGTGTCTCTCTTTATAAGGAAAATATTAGAGGAAGAGTGATTTCCAATCTCTCAAAGTCCTGAGGAGCTTTAAATCGTCAGTTGTAAAACCTTATCAGCTTACATGCATTACCTGCAGCATTGTGTTGATGATACTCGATGAGTTCAGGAACAGATGAAAAGAGATATTTTTCTGCTACATAATATTGTCCCAAGTGGTTTTTCTTAATTTGATAATGTCGAATATCTCCACTATGACTTCTGAAATCAACAAAGGATTAAAATTTTCAGTAAAAAAATTTTATACTATAAATCTGATTAAATTTCACTTGGAGAGAAAGCACAGAAAAACCTGAAATCTTGGGGTACTATTCTCACCTTGAAATGGCTGTGTGTAGCTGGGATAGTGTTTCAGGGGAAAAGAAAATGACTCCTTGAGTGGATCTCTCTCTCAACTTTGGGAGATATTGCACAATGGTTTTTTATTGCACAAGGATTGTTGCATCCATAAGAAACAGCCACAGCGTTTAACAGATGTTCCTCCTAATTCAGCACTTATTTAAATCTAAGCTCTTAAAATTAAAATAGTCTTCATTACCTGAGTTTCCCCTAAAAAGTTTAAAACACAGTCATGTATACTGTGAGATACATTTTCTGTTCTGCTTCTCAAAAGGCTCCTCATTGGAGCTTTTATTTGACACATTTACTTTTCTGTATTTCTCTGTATTATGTCTTTCTTGCTTTCTGTACATTTTGCTGCCCATCTACCCCTACTTTCTGGGAGATTCAAAATTAAGAAGTTATGTTTTCTTTTCAGGCTGGAGTTGGTATCCTACAGCAAATGTGAGTCTGTGCCCAGCACAGGGGGTGGCAGGGAGGGAGGGCTCACCCCACCTTTCCAAGGAGAGAAGGGAGCGAGGAAGAGAGTGGTGGTAGCAGGGATGCCTTTTCCTCTTCCTATCGCCCCTGGCTTGCTCTAAGAGACAGAGAAGGAAAGGAGATGTCACTGATGCAGGAAGATGTAGGAGGGCTGGGGGAGCAGGGTATAAGGCAGCTTGAGAAGCTGTAAGTCAGCACTGTGGTTGATTGTTACTGATGTGGGGGAAAAGCGAGTCCTGTGGAAGTCCTCTGGCAGAAGAAGTAAGACTGCACAGTGAGGAGGTAATGTGATTTTAGGAGAAAAACAGGAGAAGTTTGTGGACAGCAGCGTCTGGGATGAATTACAGTGTGCAGAGCCTGCAGAGAAGGGAAGCAGTTTGGTGTGGCGGCCGAAGGCTGTGGTGGCATGGTGTGGCAGCCATGGCACTTCATGTAGAAAGAGAGACAAGAAGATGCAAATATAAGGTCTTATTGCCTGCATTATGTGAATGGGATGCACAGCTTTCACAGCAGATTATTTGAGGATTTCAATGAGGGCAGTCAATCTCGTCTTGGCAGGACATTTGCACCCTGACTCCCAGATCCACTGCCCACCATCAACATTTCTGCACATGGAGTAATTAACTCTGCATGAACAGCACCCCAATGGTTTCCTGCTCCTGCACACTGCATATCCAACCTACCCACTTCTCCTGAGGAGTATGGGGGAAGCTGTTCCACCACCTCTTGATTCAAACCCTAACCATTCAGAAGAACTCACCCTTTAGCCTGCGAATACATGGACAGCGTAAGAAGTCCCTTTTGACTTGAATCTCTAACAACAAATGCACCTTCTTTGGACTGAAAAGAAATACAAGTAGTTATTTTCTGCTTCTGAGTTTGAATAATCCTTCCTTGAGATAGGACTTGCAGCTGAGTACAGAATTCTGTGGAAAACCTACCACTATTTGGGAGGGGGATAAAGCAGTGACGAATGGGAATTGATAGCCAGGTAGATAGCAGAGCAAAATTAACCAAGGGAAAATACTAAGTGCCAGGCAATTTCTTGGAGTGAAATAATGTAGGTGAATTATACTTGTCAGTGTGAAATAGTGAAAATGCTTCAATTTATTAAGAAATCAAATTGTACAAGTCACTAGAATAAAATACTGTGAGACCGCTCTGAGATGTTCTTCTCTGGTCTGTCTTGCCCAAGCTCTGTGTTAGTCCTTGAGCAAAGACCTGATGAGTTTAACTGAGTTAGGCACTTCGGTGACCAATAGCGGGTAGAACACAATATGGCTTGTTTTATACATAAGGAAGACACAGGGGTTTTTTCAATCTCTGCTCACCTCACTAACTTACTTACTAAATGGACTTTAATCTTCAGAGTTTCATACAAAAGACAAGCACAGCAAGCCATGTGCAATTTAATTTATCTAGTGTGGAAAATCTACATAGAATTTGCTGAGGTTATAATTTAAAACTCCGTGAAGTCTGGATAGTCTGCACTGTACACTTACCCCAGAAAGCCTTTTTATTTTAAAGTACTCTCTTTATTATTTCACAGCAAACAGACTTGGATTTGACTGTGGTAATGTTCTTGATGACTCTACTGATAGATCTTTCTAGATATCATTAGCTCTATGTGTAAGCTGAGTTACCTTCTGGCGCAAGAGTAGTTCTGCCTGGCTTCTGTTTATGTTTTTGCAGTACCACCTGCAACGAGGAGACAACCTGTCCTTTAATTTCAGCCAGTGAAAATTAATGTTTGCTCTGTTTCACAAAAGTAATCCATTTTAGTATTTGCACTATTCCCAGTCCAAAAACCTGAATAGAACTATTGTCATACATAAACATCTCTTAATTTTTAATTACTTTATTAGACTCTTGTAAATGTGACAATTTTTTTCCCCATTCACTGTGATTAAATATGAGCTCAAACAGAAGAAAGCCCAGGAAACAGGTACACCAAACTGTGATGAAATTACTGTCCCACTCACTGCGTCAAGCCTCTCTTCTCTAGAATTTTGCAGAATTTTACTTTTCTCTCCAGAAAATTAGATTTAAGTAATTAGAAATAGTAGTTCCAAATCAAAATGCTTAATTTATTCTGAGAGTAATGTTTTGTAAGAAAAAAAGAGAGCTTTCAATAGACACCTGTTCATGTCTAATAAAGTTTGAAGGATCAAGCACTAAAATGTATCGCTGCAATCCATTTTCAGAAAAGAAACACAATTATAATTTTCAAGAGTACTTACTCATATATTTCTAAATTGCTTTTCTTGTTCTCAGTAACATAGTTGCTGGGAATTAGACCTTCATTCCTGAAACAACATGTTGTGGATAATATTATAATATCATGCAAAATATTAATAGGATTAAGATATACATCTTCCTTTTGTTGAATTACAAGGTTCCTTATACTGTTGACTATGTTGTTAGATACTGAATCCTAACATTGGAATTGACTGGAAGTCTTTCATTACAGGCAAAATCATTCTGCCCTACAACTGCGGATGGCTACAGAAAAGAAAAAGTCAGCTGGGATAGTATAGAGTGTTAAGAGCAGCATGTTAATGAAGATTTTCAAGTCAAATCAAAAGAAAATTTAGAAAAAAAATATATATTTCTTCTGAATCATAAGCCACTCTTAATTTCTGGGCTATACAAAGCTTTTATATGAAGAAGTAAAAAGTGTGTGCTTTCATGTATATACAAAATAATAATCAGTGTACCGCCAGTGCAATATGAGTTGAGGAAAAGCATTCTAAAGTATTTAAAGGAGAAATCTGAATGGGAAGAAAACAGTTATATTTAACATATAATCATTCCCAACATCAGAGTACAGGATGCACTGAAGAAAATGCAAAGGAGAAAGGGGAATGACATGAAACAAAGATAAATGTGGAACGCAGCCTAACTGAAGTTATCTAGCTCCCTAAAATGTCTAGGAATTTTGGACGAGGGATTTTAGAATCATAGAATCATAGAATGTTGTGAGTTGGAAGGGACCCACAAGGATCATTGAATCCAACTCTTGCCCTAGCACAGGACAATGCCAAGATTCAGACCATGTGTCTGAGGGCATTGTCCAAATGCTTCTTGAATATTGTCAGGGTTGGTGCCATGACCACCTCCCTGGGGAGCCTGTTCCAGTGCTCCACCGCCCTTTGGGTGAAGAACCTTTTCCTAATGTCCAACCTAAACCTCCCCTGGCACATCTTCCTGCCATTTCCCCTGGTCCTATCATTGGTCGCCAGAGATC